ATGAAATAAGCGCTTTAAAAACTGATCATTCCACTAGAATAATGTATTATGGATCCATTCTCCCAATCTTATGAGACTTATCTTATCTAACTAACTTATCGATTAACATTCTGATTTGCTGAATAGTGAATAAATAAATACAAGTACAAATGTAAATAAATAAATAAATGTATACATTTGTAATCACAATTCCGTCTCTGCACAGACCACGTATATGATACTTTTAATGAAAACGTTTGGCGTAGTGCAGTGAGCAGTGTCCTCACAGTTTGCGGTCTTTATATCTATAACGCTTTGCGCTCGCTTTCTATTCGCAGGTAAAAAATTATGCTAAGAATACTCCGAAACGATTTTCGTTTTTTGAGTTATGACTGATCACAATCTCTTATAATCGATATGTAAGGGCACTTATGGGCAAAATTCCTAATGCCATGGACATTTTGACTTTCACTCGGCCACCCGCTAGACCCATTCCTATTTTGTTTTTTATTTCTCTAGGATAGCCGCTAACATTTTGCGAATGGCAGTTTTCATCTCTTGAAAATCGAACATAGCTCGGGGAGTCTAACATAAAAAATTGGTTTTCCAAAAGTAACGCCTATGTTATCCACCCATACATATACCCAGCAGATATTTTCCCCAAAATGTAAATGTCAACTCCTAACATTGACGGCGCCTAATTGGGTCCGAAAATTGTTGCAATATGAATAATATCTTAAGAAAGATTTATGTTTAACCTGTCATAGTTCGAGTGTGTGAGGTACGCTCAAATTTGTCCAGCAATTTGCTTATGCAACAATTTCATTATCGCTTTTCAGAGTTGATGATCATTCAAAAAAAGGTTATGCTTTTCCTAAACATGTTACAGTGCAAGGGATGATGTCGACAGTGTCGATTATGTTACAGTGCTTTCCAGTACATTAACCTATTTTCAATAAGCACCAACAATCTTACCTCATTTGAAGACATTATCAAAAATGGAGAATGATTGGCCTTCTTTGGAGACCA